AGAGGCTGGGGTCAGGCCTGCTCCACCATGGCTGCTCTGTCCTGGGGGGGGGCTGGAGGGCCAGCCACACCAGCCAGCGAACACAGCTCCCGCACCTGGGCAGGCCAGCTAGTGGCCCAGCGCCCCACTCCCCTTCCTCCTGCACTGTCCCCAAGGAAACCTGGTACTGGGACGGCAGCAACGTGACCAGCATGGCGTTGAGCGGGGTGAAGTGTGCCGGGCACGAGATGACGTTGAGCCATTGCCGGCATGACAGCAGGGTTTCCTGCCAGAAGACAGGGACCCGCTTCGCTGCAGGCGTCATCTGCTCAGAGAGTAAGAGGACTGGGGCCCGGGGGCCCATAAGGGGGCCATCTTCTCAAGCACAAGCTCTCCCCACAGCCCTCTCCTGGCAGGGGGCTGGTAAGGGGCTCTGCCTCTATCCTTCAGGGAGCTTTGACCCGCTTCATTCAAGGAATGGGAGGGACTGGGGTTCAGGGGCCCTCTGGCCAAACCCTCCCACCCCAACCTGCTAACCAAGCGCTGGTGACCTCCTGGAGGGGCCCTCCCTCGGCTCCCCCAGGCACCACCTGGCTCCTTCCACCCTCGCAGCTGCCTCAGATCTGCTGCTCCACGCGGCGCTGGTGCAAGAGACAGCGTACATAGAGGACCGCCCTTTGCACATGCTCTACTGTGCTGCGGAGGAGAACTGCCTGTCCAGCAGCGCCCGCAACGCCAACTGGCCTTATGGGCACCGCCGTCTCCTGCGCTTCTCCTCCCAGATCCACAACAACGGCCGGGCTGACTTTCGTCCCAAGGCGGGCCGCCACTCCTGGGTCTGGCATGAGTGCCATGGGTAAGGGCAAGGAGCAACAGCAGTGGCCCAGTCAGCTTGGCAGGCTAGGCCAAGAGAAGGCGGTGGGGACCCACCCTGCCCCTCCCCGCCAACGCAGGGGCTGCTCACGCTCCGCCCTCCCGTTTCAGACACTACCACAGCATGGACATCTTCACCCACTACGACCTCCTGACACCCAATGGGACCAGGGTGGCCGAAGGACACAAAGCCAGCTTCTGCCTGGAGGACACAGAATGTGAGGAAGGTAGGTGACTTGGGTGGGCAGGGCAGGGTAGCCCAACAGGGCCAGGGGCCAGGCCACACCCGCATCTGCAGGCAGGGCCTCCCCACAAGGCCCAGCCCAGCCCCAGCCCAGCCTTCCTTCTTTCCCCCCCCCCCTTTGGGCAGAGGTGGGCAAGCGCTACGAATGTGCCAACTTCGGAGAGCAGGGCATCACAGTGGGCTGCTGGGACCTCTACCGGCACGACATTGACTGCCAGTGGATCGATATCACAGACGTCAAGGCTGGGAACTACATCCTGCAGGTGAGGGCTGCAGGGATGGGCGGGAGCAGCCGTGGGTGGCTTCAGTCACCAGCGCCAGGAATCTGGGCATTGGGGGTAAAATGCAGACGCGGCCTCCGGCACGCAAGGCCTCAGCCACAAAGCTGGGCGCAGGGTGGAGGTACATCTAGAAACCAGGCCTTCCATCCCAGAGCTGGCTCGGAGAAATGGTCCATAGATGAGGGGGGAAGCCCTACCTCAACCCCCACCCTGTGGCCCTCACCTTCTGTCACCTTGGATACGAGGCCCCCATCTCACCTTCTGCCCCCCAGGTGGTGATCAACCCCAGATACGAAGTCGCGGAGAGCGATTTCACCAACAATGCCATGAAATGCAACTGCAAGTACGATGGGCACCGAATCTGGGTACATCGCTGCCACATAGGTACTGCAGAACCTGAGGGGGGATGCAGAGGGAGCAAAGGGGGATGTGCAGAGCAGGTGGCCAGGGATGGGGTCTTCAAGGTCTCTCACACCACAGCAGTTCACACCTTCCCAAATGCCTTGCTACAGGTGATGCCCTGAGCAATGAGGCCAACGGGGTCTCCGAACAGTATCCAGGACAGAGCAACAACCAGATTGCGTAGGCGGCTGCCTCCTCCTGGGCAGCAGGCAGACCTAGATCGTGCCAGTGGTACAGCAGCAGGCAAGGGGGTCTGATGGCCCGTCTCCCAGCAATTGTCTTGCCCGAGGCAGGAACGTTTCCTGGGCAGCTGAAAGGTGCCACCCACCGCTGGCACATTGTCATCTCACAG